TATGTGTTTGTGAAAGATGGCTTTATAACATATCACACAGAATAATAGAAGTGTTTGTGCAAATCAACTCGGATCATGGCTCAAAAGACAAGAGCTATTCTTTTCCCAGCCTGGCACAACTTTTAGATTTTTCAACTAACCGTGTTACACCCACATGGCTTGTGCAAAGTCGGACTAAACTAGGGGGGAAAAAACTTGCACAATGCAATTTTTGGGGGGGAGATAGAGCCTTCTATAAATTAGCAGGTGGGTGAAAAAAAAGAAAACGGAAAGCGGTTATATTTAGTTCCGTGTGTGTGTGTGTGTTTGCATGTGTGCACATCAGAGGTGGGTTTCAGCAGGTTCTGACCAGTTCTGGCGAACTGGTAGCGGAAATTTTGAGTAGTTCGGAGAACCGGTAGTAAAAATTCTGACTGGCCCGCCCCCATTTATTTTCTGCCTCCCAATTCCCAGCTGATCGGAAGGAAATGGGGATTTTGCAGTATCCTTCCCCTGGAGTGGGGTGGGAATGGAGATTTTACAGTATCCTTCCCCTGCCTTGCCTACCAAGCCACTTCCACAGAACCGGTTAGTAAAAAACTTTGAAACCCACTACTGGTGCACGTCATGAATGATCATGCCTCAGAGATTTCCTGCGAAAAGAAAAGAAAATGCACAGAATCTAGAATATTTGTTCTTTTCATTGAAAAGGTGAGCTGAACCGAGATTGTTCTGCTGGGACAGATATGCTCTTTACCTTTGCTCTTTTTTCCCCCCCCCGATTGAAAATGTACGATTTGTTTTTTATTTATTTATTTTGCTTCAAGCCTTAGTCTTGAGTCGTGGTTTGCGTGGAGGAGTCCTTGCAGTGTTCTTGGCACTATTTTGTGAAGTGGTTTGCTGTTGCCTCCTACTTCTTCTGGGGGTTGTGGGAGTGGGAGAGGGAGTCACCCAGATGGTTTTGGGGACTATAATCCATGGCTTCCTGATTTAGCACTTAGCAACAGCACTTAGACTTATATACTGCTTCACAGTGCTTTTACAACCCTCCCTAAGTGGTTTACAGAGTGTTCTGTCCCAGCTCCGGATTCCCGAGGATATTGACACACACCAACAGTCCTTATCAAATTTATTAAGTAGCAAGAATAAACCAAAGTCCGGCAAAGGTTGGCAACCAGCCCAGAAAACAAGATACGATAAGACTTTTCCAAAAATGCTCTGATGATAATTACAAGTTGTTTCCAGCAAGAAACTTACTAAAGGCGTGTGACTTAAATAGGCTAAAGGAGTGGCCAATTATCCTCAAGCCTTACTCTCGAGGAGACCTCCTCCTCCTCCTGAGTAGCCACTCCTGCCTTTTGGCAGCCCTGCGTGCTCGAGCGTTGAGGAGAGGCTCCTCCACTTCGCTCTCTCCACTTGAAGGAGCCTCTGGAGGTTCTGAAGGCCCTGGTTGAGTCTCTGCCTCTGGCACTACATCCTCTTCAGCCTCCTCGCTGTCCGACGTGAGCGCTGGCTGCGCAGGCTGCTGGCGCAACACACCAGCCTCCTCGTTGTTGGGATCAGCCATGATCCGCGCAGGCTGCTGGCGGGCCACAACACAGAGTCAGCCTATTGCCCCCAAGAATCTGGGTCCCCATTTTACCGACCTGGGAAGGGCGGAAGGCTGAGTCAACCTTGACCGGTCAGGATCGAACTCCAGACTGTGGGCAGAGTTTGCCTGCAATACTGCATTGTAATCAGCGCGTCACCAGCAGTTCTCAATTTATGATAGGTTGTTTAATCCGTTGTTACCATTCAAAGTCACAACAGACCCTCACAAAAGCTGTTTACGTAACATGTTTTTGAGGTAACGGCTACTGGCCTGCATTTATGTCTGTCTGCAGCATCCTGCATCATTTTTGCCAAAAAAACAAGGTTCACTTCCAGTTTTAGGCAAAAACGCCATATAGGAAAAAAGGGCTTTGCTGAACTATTGCAATATTTACGTAAACGACCACCACAAAATAAAAATTGTAAAATTGGTTCAGTCAAGTGAGGATCTGTTTTGCAACCATCGCAACCTACGACCGTAAGGGGGTGGACTCCATTATGGTCATAAATTGAGGACTACCTTTATAGTCCAACGCTTCCACCACTAGAGCGAACCGGCTGTGAGTACATGTTGTTTGATGTTTTCTTGGCAAGGTTTTTCAGAAGTGGCTTGCCATTGCCTTCTTCCTAGGGCTGAGAAAGAATGGCTGGCCCAAGGTCTCCCAACTAGCTTTGTGCCTAACTGGTAGTTCCTTGGTTGTCTATGCAGATTCTCAGTCATCCCAAATTAAGGTTCCCCCAAAAGTGCTTTTTCAAAAGCCTATCAAACTTTCTTGGGTTTTTTCTTGAAGATGTTTCGCTTCTCATCCAAGAAGCTTCTTCGGTTCTGACTAGTTTCCTGCTTCCTATCCCAAAATGGCTCTTAGTTCAATATCACCTCATCTTATATTTATGCATAGAAGTTCTGAAACTCTTACGTAGCCAGTGATGC